GTCCGATTTCATGTTAATGGTGCCCCAAAGTCCCTATATATCTTTCGATTTGCAGGAAATTTGGCATAAAGTACTGAATTGAGCCTAGAGTGATGTCTGCCTTATAGATTGATTTTAAGTAATTTAGGCACCTGTGACAAGTGTGTTTGAAATCGCTTAATATTTGGATAGAGCTTCCATATATATTTTCGCCCGATTTCAAGTAAATTGGGCATCAAACTCCTCATGTTAGTCAGATTGACATCAAATTTTGCACAACGTACAAAATTGAGGATAGAATTACGTAGTTGCGTTTTGTAGAAGTACAGACATAGCCCAACGGATGACCTATTTATATTTGTTTGAAGTCGATTTACATTCTTTATGGACAGATCTAGGTAGATTCACATTTAGATAAATATAACATATTATATTTCATCCAATTTCATGTTAATAGTCCTGTTTAATATACCCATAGTGGTGAAGGGTATCTTATAGTCGGCCCCGTCCGACTTTACTATTTTCCTTACTGGTTTTTTTTTAAATTATCCGGAGACTTCAGACGCGCAAATTGCAGTATACCAGATTTGATTACGAAACCGATGAACATTGGCCTTGAAGTGCTTCTTCCAACTTTCGTTGGATTCGGCTTGTCTTCGAAGACTAATTGGGTTTTTTAAACAATCCTCGTATTTGGTCACTTCGTACTAACTTTTTAGCCGAATGTTATCATATAATGTGTCAAAAGATAAGTCCATTTATGGTAATTGCCTATATTTGATTCAATTTCCTGTGAGAATTGAGGGCATTTCAATTTGGTGCTGATCATAAAAATAAAAAAAGAAATGTAAATGGGTTTTTCAGATTTGGTTTTAAGAGAGTTGAGACAAATTTCGAAAATAAAATAAAATGAGTTGAAAATAATGATTATAAATATTATGGAAAGAATTAAGCATCATCCCATAAACAATTGCCAATTAAAGATTGATAAATAAACTAAATAAAAAAGTATTATAAACTAAATATTAGCATTAAAATTTAAACATTAAATAAATTATAAGAAATATTATAATTATTATTATTAATATTATATAGCATGCATATTACTTACCAAGTCCTTCATTTATCATTCTTTGTAATAGAACACAAACCAAACAATTTAGTTTATTTTTAAATTAATTTATTATTTTTATTACATATATTTATTAATTTGATTGTTTACATTTCATTTAAATTAAATTTATATTTACATTTTCGTTAATTCATTTTCGTATTATTTATTATTACTTAAATAATAAAATATTAGTTTTTTTTTTATTTACATTAAAAACTAAGATGAAATATTATTTTTTTGCTAAAAAAACTCAAATTAACAAGATTTTATCGCATTCCTCTTGCTGTTGGTTTTTTCTTTCGTTTCGTTTTGTTGGTTGTAGTAGCAGTGCTCTCCACTTGAGATGGTCCAATTGAAACCATTTGTAACTGTTTTTTCTTTATTTTTTAACAGCTGAACAATAAGTTAAACAAATACTAAAACTATGACTGGTTTTTTGCATTTGCAACTGGAAAAAAATTAAGCTTTTGATTTTGAAGATAAATATTTGTAGATTGTTGTTGTTTTGTTGGTAGATATTGGATTGGGTTATATTAAATATGTAGGTATGGGTCATGGGTTCAATTATGGCTTATAAGGGAAGATTTTAACGGCATTGTTCAACTAAGGGACTGTAATTTGACCGTATGGCTTTTCAGGGGGACTCTGATATTTGGCATCTAAATTTAGTACAATAAGAAATAGATGAACGACTTTATATAAATAACGTCCCTAAATTTTGTGAGAAAAAATCTACCAGTTTCGAGACACTCAGGTTGGGACATTTAACATACCGAAAATTAAGCCACGACCTTCGTACTATGGCCATGTTAATATGCACCTATTTTGAACAATTTCTGCAAATATATTTTTTCACATTTCAGGAATTCGATGTGTCAAATTACAGTCCCTTCGTACTTTAATTGTACCAAGTGGTGTGATTGGTACTAAAATTATTAAGTTCAGTATTTGGTAAACGAAAGGAGGCGGAGGATCTCGAACTTTTGTATAGATATTTCTATAACTGTGTAGAGTTATGATATATGTGTGTGTGTGTTTTTTTTAAATGCACACTAAAAGTGTACAAAATGTACCATATGGTACAGAATTTAATAACAGAACATTGGTATAGAGATCGCTTTTGTTTTTTCGTATATGAATCAAAAGTGATGTATGGGATTGAGGTATGAAGTTGATAGAAAGAATATAAAGTAACATTCTTCAAAATTTGGTATTGAGTTCAGAGTTTGAGTGGAAGGTAGAAATAAGCAAACAGACTATCATTAATGTGTTAAATATGATTTTGGATAATCAGATAATGGTGGAGAAAATGTAATTTCTAATAAATACTTTTTGTAACGTTTTGGAAATCTACAATTTCTAAAAATATCACCTTCTCTCTAAAAATTTTCACACTGGCTGGCTGGTGCGCACGAAAATTCTTGAAATTAGTAATTGAAAATTTCATATGAAAATTTTATTTGATCGGTCGTAATATTTTTTAAACAAACCTACTTTAATATTTGGATTTCTAAGGGAACTTCTGCTGGTACCGTACCGCAGACAGTCAACTCTTGGATAAAATTCTTATCTCCACTAAACACAGATTAAATGCAATGATATAGGTCAATCTACTTTGGAACCTTTCAAAAACACAACTCTATATTTAAAATAGTCCATGTGGAGGTATTTTAACCTCTGTGAACCCACTTCGATTGTAAAATTAGGCTAGAATCCTAAAAATGTCTCAAATAGATCAGAGACCATATATTGGGACTATGTCAAAAGACAGACCTCATAATGTCTAATTATACCGATATGCACATAACCTATGTTGGCAATTGTTCGTAAGGAGGAAAATATTATACCCTCTGAGAACAAAGCTGAGGTCCTCACAACGTTAAAAGTCGTTTCTGAATGTTATGTAGCAACCATGTAAAATATGAACCTATCTCGATCTGGCAACTCCTTCATATAGAAACGCATACGCATTTTTTTACAAGTCTTGATTTAGATTAGGTGAGTTTACTTGCGGCAAGTCTTTGTTTGTAGGAGAGAGGGGCAAGGGGTATAGAAATGAAAAAAATTGCTCGTACCGACAATTTTCTGGCAATTCGTTTTGTGTTTTTCGTATTTGTTGACATTTTATTTATATTTAAATGTGATAAAAACAACAAATAAAAAAATATTTTGGAAACCGAATTGCCTTGTATAGACGCATGGAGCAAGTTCAAAAGAGAACGATAAAAATTGCCGCAAGTAAACTCGCCTAATATAAATCAGGACCAATGAAAAAAATTGCGGATGCGTCTTTTTTGAATACCTGTTTCTATGTGAAGGAGTTGCCAGATCGAAATACAATTTAACATGTGTTTATAATAGAGATGGAAGTTTCCAAAACACTTAACCTTTTTCTGTATATACCGCGTTTTTGGGCTAGGCTAAGAACATTCCGATTTCCAGTAAGTATTTTACCTTTTAAAGCCTCGTGTCCTTGATTTGGGGCCCTTGTCTATTAACAATAAAAATAACAAAACATGGCGGATATTTTTTATGCCAAGACACACAGATAAATGGAGATTTTTCTAAGGATGTATTTAACCCTCTGAGAGCCCTAATGCCAAATTACAGCCAATTCAGTCAGAACATCAGACTATAACTTTATTAACCTACTTCTTGTGAGGAAGGGAATATACAGAAAACCCAAAATACAGACTCCTTTGAAGGAAAATACGACTAGGACCATCATTATACCAATTTGCTTCAATTTATTAAATTTTTCAAGTTTATAAAATATTGGCCCTTTCTGAGGGAGAATTTATCGCCTAAAATTGGATCCATAAACATTAAAAATGTTTACCATTAGTAAGGGAGTACCTGAAGGAGTGGTTCCAATCTTCAGACTTGATCTAAGCTTGGTAGAGATAATAAGTTGTTCAAGGTTTAGTTCAAATTGGACATTATGTATATTGGATTACAATCGACTCCAAAATTTCGGAAACGGATTTGTTGAAAAGAAACATGTGTTCTAAAACCAATATTTCGATGAGGCACATTTTCACCGTATCAAAGATTATATACCCTTTATAGCCATAAGATTGAGGGAAGTGGGTTATATGGGGACTACCCCCAAAATGGGGCGAATATTAAGACTTTATTACCATATACAACAAAAATACCAAATTGCGGCGAATTAGGTTGAAAACGCCCTCAAGAACCACAAAATATCGAAAATCGGTGTACCTTTATATGGAGCTACCCGAAAAAACTGACCCATATTTATAGATTTTAGTGGCGAAATTTGTTTGTTGAAAAACGCGCTCAAGAACCCGAAAAAATGGAGATAACCTTATATGGGGACTACCCGAATAAAACTGATCTATATTTATAATTTTTGTAGCTATATACTTCCCATTAAGAATTCGATATAATAAATTACAGCGAGTTCGGAATCTTCAAATTATGTGGTAGGCTATACGAATATATATCTCTTACATATGGCCCAATACCTATTTAAATTTATTACCAAGCATTTAATTTAACCCAATCCAATATCTACCGAATGCACCCTATATCGTTTTTTATTTTTCTTGTTGTTGTTGTTGTTGTTATGTTTGTTGTTGGTGGAATACATTACCAAAACGCGTCCACTTAAGGAAATGATAGACACCTAAGTTGATGGAACCAGAGTGGTTGTGTGTCTTTGTTGTTCGAAAAAGAGCTGCTGATGCTGTTTTTAATACTCTCTGGGCTTTGTTTGTTGCTAACGATGATCGCGGTGGTGGAGGTGGTGACGACGATGATGGTGTCGGTGTTGGCATTATTGGGTGCTCTGGCGGTGTCTGAGGTTTGTCTCTAGTCGATTGGTTTGGTTTGCTTGATTTCTTGGCTGGTTGTCTATTAGGTTGTTAGGAGGTCTTTCGTTGCTAAGTAAGCTTCAGATCCACTGCCGTTGCCAGGCATTAAACAAAATTTAATCGCTGGTAATACGGAATGTTGTAGTAATTAAATGAGGCATACGATGTGGCACTTGGTGATTTTAACGCTGTGGTGGTGTAATACAAGGGACCTATAAAAATGGAGGAGAATAAAAAATTGAACAACAAAACATGAGCTGTGGTATTATCTCAAGTAAACAATTTATTTATGTTAGCTGTAGTACGATTACCAACACGTGACTTGGTTAGCAAAGAAAATTAAAAAAATAAATAAATAAATAAAGGTGCCTCATCAGTTAACCCAAAGCTGTGACGTGATCTAAGCAAACTGTTACTTCAAAGCATCTGAAAACAAAAATACTGCATTACAGAAAAATATATCTCGGTGTGTGTGTATCGTTCATTGTTTTGTATCTCAGTAATTACGGAAATGCAAATGAGTTTAAATGATGTTTGTAAATTGCCAACAGGTGTACCCTCCACAAGTACTGCAAATCAAAACAGAAACAATATACAGCGACTTTTAGGAGGGATCAATAACACCTACCTTACCCTACCACCACCATCTGCTGATGGCTGTTTATCGTTAATGGCTTTATTCAAGTGTTGGCGGTACCGTTGAACTTCAATTGTCGTTGATTAGTACCCTTTCGGGTAATAATCATAATTCTCACTTGTTTCTTTCACTCGAAGCTGTTTACAGCATTTCATTTACATACTCGTCCCGATTTGCTAATTGTTTTATCGTGCAATCGGAACTGAAATACTCTTAACATGTGTCGATAATTACACACATAAATGTTGTTAATGATTACATATTAATTTGCTAACTTTTCAAATAAATATTGTTGAGAGAAGTTGGTAAGAAAAATAAACCTAGGTGGTATTTATTAGTTTGGAAAGGGCGGATGGTGATAGGTGGGCTAATAAATATGTTTTTTTCTTTTTAATTTATTATTGACATGTAATTAATTAATCTTTGGCCCTTGACAACGAAGTGTATTGAATAGATGTCATGGTTATTTTAATGTAAACATGTAAAAATCCTATCCAATACAAAACCTAAATATAAAATCAGTAAAGAAAATTCAAAAGTCGGACAGAGTCTATTATATGATACCCTACATCACTTTGCGCATATATAAAGAAAAAAAATATATACATATGAGAATAAAAATACTAGTATACAAGAGAATATAAATATTGGTGTCATATCTACATCGGAAACGATTTCAACGAAACTTAACACACATTATTCTAGACACGATTTAATACGCTACACTATGTGCCAGGCACACAATGTTTTGGCAAAATGTCCATTTCAGGTTCAGAGGAAAAAAGTTATATGTTTCAAATCTAGGAACTTTGAGATTTACACCAGAAACATTTCATATTTCTGGTAGGTCACGTTTTCCAAAAGACATGAGGTCAATGTCAAAATTTCATAGTTTTGTGAAAAAATTAATATTACCGAAATAGTCTTTGAAAATTATATGTAAAAAAACACTGAGCGGAGCAGTATAGTCGAACGGCGCCGACCATACGATACCCCACACAACTACCACGGAACTCTAACTCTCTACAGATTTTTATTTTTGTCCGATTAGAGGTCAACAGTACCTCTTCCTTACACTGACATATTTTCCGAATATTACTAATATTCAGTACAGCCCTTCTAATTACTTGTCCATATTCCCTTCACCGTGGGTTGTGTTGTGATGTTCGGCTTATGTTAAGTTTTCGGTCTATTTCATCCCAAAATTATTATCGGACCATCACCGACAATTATAGGCGTTGTCCTTGACAATAACTGAACATTTCAATGCAATTTGCGCTATACTTTCGCCCCCCAGTGTGGTAATGCGTTACTAAATACTATCTGAATACGTAAGCACCTGTAAATATTTCAGTATAACTCCCCCATCCGAGTACATACGAAAAAATAATTGACATTAATTTAACCCTTTGACGTATTTCTACGAGTCTGACTCGTGGTACAATTTCTGTGCCTAAATTGATTATCTAACTCGTGGTGTGTAGAAGTGTACATTTGATGAAAAGAGAATTGCAATTTTCCTGTTATTTTCAGCTAATAATGTGCAAGTTGTATGCTAACAGTTGGAAGCGAACTTCGTTGCGCTAATTGATACGTCAAAGGCTTAAAGACCAGCCACTCTATCAACTTCTCGTTCTTCAGGAGTACAAATCTACGAAATAGAATACAAATTTTGTCATTTTTCACACAAAAATCAGGATCCATTTGATCCGCTAAATATTGACCAATCATTATCAAAACAGGCATGGTTATTCTTTGGCCAAATCCCCTTTTCCATGTAAAAATATCTGGAGCGACCAGAAAAATCGACAAAAATTAATTATTTGGTCTATTTCATTCCTTAAATATTAATCGATCATTACCAACAATAGGGATCTTTATTGGACAGAACCCATTCTACATGCAAAATTTCGTGAAGATTGGTCCATAACAGTAGCCTGTATCCTGTTTACAAATTTTAAGGACGGACCGACGGACGGACACACATGTCTAGATCGACTCAGCTAATCGAGATACTTAAAGTTGGGCCTAGGACCAAACTCTTGGGACTGCACATAGCTATAATACCCTGACAACATAGTTCTGTAGGGTATAACTAGTAAGGAAAGATAAAAAAGATCTTAGGGAATCGACTATATGATACTCTTCACCACTTTGGGTACATTCAAGAGATGATAATGTGTACAATATCCTGTTGATAGAGTAGTCATAGCATCTTTGAAAGACCATTGAAGTGGAAACGGGCGAAACCGATTTTCACGAAACTTCACGTACATCATTCTATACCTTATTTAGTGCGCTATGCTAAATTTCGTCCAAATCGAAGGATATTTAGGGACTTTGGTGCACCATTTACCTTAAATCGTACGTAAATATATATGGGAACTTAGCACACATCATTCTAGACTTAATTTAGTACGCTATGCCAAATTTGGTGGAAATCGAAAGATATATGGGGACATTGGTACACCATTTACATTAAATGGGACGAAAATATATATGAGAGCTATATATAAATCTGAACCGATTTTCACGAAACTTAACACACATCACTTCAGACTTAATTTAGTACGCTATGCCAAATTTCGTGCAAAACGAAGGATATATAGGAACATTGGTGCATCATTTACCTTAAATCGGACGAAATTATATATTGGAGCTATATATAAATCTGAACCGATTTTCCCAATTTCAATGAGCTGTGCCAAATTTCATCCAATTCGAATCAAATATTCGACCTATACTTTGTTTACAATTTAATATGGACAGGCAGACGGGCGGACATGCATAAGTCGACTTAAAAAGTGATTCTATGCATATTCTCAAAAGGAACCATTACAAACATATATACAAAGACATAATACCCTGTACCGCAGTATGATGAAGGGTATAAAAATCCACCTCATGATCTGGGTGGTCAAAAATTCCTTATTGGGAGGAAATTTCTTGGCGAGTAGGGCAGAAGGACACATTTGCAATAGAACAAGTTATTGAGTTACGGTGCGATAATTTTTTTGCTGGTAATTCTATTTTTGAGATGACGTGGCTTCAGTCAAATTCAATGAGAAATATATCTGTAAAACATATCCTTTTAGAAGAAGTTCTTGAGTGACGTTCTCATCTTTACATGTCATTTCAAAAATAACAGGAAAGTCTATATAGACATGTGTGTCCGTCGGTCCGTCCATCTGTCCATTATAATTTGTAAACACGTTTTAGACCACAGTTGTGGGCCAATCTTCACGAGATTTTGCATGTAGAATAGGTTCTGGTCAATGAAGACCCCTATTGTTTTTGGTTAAGGTCGGTTAATATTTAGGGTATGAAATGGACAAAATATTGAATTTTTTTGGTTTTTCTGTTCGTTCCGGAGGCCACAACTATAGCCCAAACATGGCGAATTTTTATATGGAAAAGGGAATCGGGTCAAATATTGGGAAATTGGTGCATCATTCTAGACCTAATTTAGTATTCTGTGCAAAATTTTGTCCCAATCGGACAAATATTGAGAGTTTGGTGCATCAGACGGACGGACGGATGAGTAAATCGACTCAGAAAGTGATTCTATGCATATTCTCAAAAGGAACCGTGGGTCTATCTCGATTCCTTTTGCCTGTTACAAACATATACACAAATACATAATACCCTGTAGCACAGTGTGGTGAAGGGTATAAACAAGGACCTATATTTTATATGACCTGCAAATATAGGTTTTACCTCCTGGAACATGGAATTAAAGTAATGTTGGATGAAAAATGTTACTAACACCTTTAATACTCGAAAAAGGCGCGGAACATGGGGAATATGTCAAAAAAAATCGGATTGTCACATAACAGTCTCCAGAGGGATATGTTAAAAAATGTCGGAATGCCATATTACAACCTCTTCATGGGTCTGGACCTTTATATGGGGTTATAATATCGCCATGAACCCGTAAAGGGAGCCATTTTGTCACATTGGGCTGCACGTTGGGGTAAGTTAATGTGTGAGAGCTTGCATTGTCATGGTGTAGAATGATTTGGAATTTCTTGGAAGACTACATACAAACACATTGTAGCGTAGGACTCAGAATTGACCTCACACTTTGCTCAAGCGAAAAAAGACCATTGACTATCCACAAGGTCGGATGAGATGAAATGTAAATGAAATCGACTAAAACAGTCGATGGGTGCTTTATATAATTCTAGACAATCAGTCATCGGATTTTGGAATAGACTGTCGGATGTCGGATGGCGCCTCAAAACGGTCAAAATATATACGACATTTGGTTTAGTTTCTAAGACCTTGTCATGGTCGATCGATCAATCGCAGACTAATTGACGAAAATGTATTTTTCTGTTTCACTATAGAATGCATTCCATCTAATCGAAAGTAGTAGGTAGGACAAACAATCCAGCTATAGCTTTGCTGTGGATATGACCCAAACGAGCCAAACATATTAGATAACCTAATATTTAATTGAAAGCCATATAATGTTTGAAGTGGGGCTAATAGTACCTCTTTCCCAAGGGGCATATTAACCAGATCTAAATAACGACCAAAGATGAAACCATTCACTTCACATCTTCTAATACT